CCAAGTTAAGTCAAGTTGCCATTTCTTTACTGAAGATTTAGTCTTGATTAGTAAAGCAGAACCGAATAACTTCAGAACTTGTTGTTTGTGGAAAGAGGGCATATCTGTGCGTTCATCTTGGCGAAAAAAAAAACAAAACTCACTGTTACTGTCTAATCGAGTCGCCTCTGCTGTGAATCCGAAAAATACACATCCTCAGATCAGCTTCCTTTATTCACTGAATATACGCTAGAAGTGAACCAATCCCACTTTCTGTTCACGCAGTCCCATACAATTAAAAAAAGAGAGGAATCGAGCAATGGAAGAACAGGTTTTTTTCCCCCCTTTTTAGCTAACTATGAAGCAAATGACACAGGCAGGGCAAGGAATTAAAGGTGATGAGACACACTTTATTCTTTTGCAGATAGTGTTTTGCATTGAGGCTAGTGCTATCTGCTAGCTTCATGCACCAATTAAAGCATGCAAGATTTTAGAAAAATAGAGAGCCAAAGCGTGACTTTTTTGACACGTGAAAATCACTTGAAAGGCTATTTTGGGACAGTAAACACAGGAAGGAGGCAGTAAAGTTCAAGGTCCTGAAGGGTGTGTTACATAAAAGACTGTTTCTTTGTCATATGACAATTTCTAGGATTTCTGTCTTGTACAAAATGAAGGGAAATGTTACATCGTAAAAACAAATAAAAGCCTTCTGACCCATATACATTTTTCAAGATATTCCAGTTGGGGGAAGAAACTTGTCAAAAGACATTGGAGAGACTTTCTTGTACAAACCCTTTTTTTTCTGGGAGGATCAATGACGTTTCTTTTACATTGCTTCCATGGGCATGTGCTACCTCAAGTGGCATTTTGGGTGCTCCTCTCCAGAAACTGGTTCTGCTCTAACACAGCGTGTATTTTGTGTAGGGGAATTTGTTCCTAATGCCATCCACTAATATCTTGAAATTGTGCTGCTGAAATTTGAGTAAGTTTCTGCAAATTTGCTTTGCCTGCTCATTCAAAACCTCCTGAAAGAAAACTTTGCGTGAATGACACTGCTCGTCGCCTCGGATGTCGGCCGAGGAAGCGCTGCAGCGCAGCAGGAGCGGTCATGCTTCCTTGGTCCCTGGCTGCGTCACGGATTGCTGCTCCACGCACGGCCAAGCAACACCAGTGGCAGGGTAAGCTCCCATGGGGTACGCACAGCACAGATGAGCAAATACAAACGTGCGTGCTCATAAAGCGAGTCTAAAATGGTTCTCTCCGTTTGGATTAACTCATTTTCTTTCCTCTGAGATTCTTGTCAAAACCGTCCCAAAGAATGGATTCTTTATCTTGTTTTGTTATCTTTCAAAGATAAATGGAGTGCAGCACACTTTATACTGTAAACAGTAACTTTGACTGGCCCCAATCCAGTAACAGCTGAACAAATATTTCTAACATGGGCAACTCATCCTCCCTCTTTCTCAGCTGGAAAGACCACATATTTTCCTAACTCCCTGTCAGTTCTTATGTCTAGTGTGGTCAGTTCATGGAGGGAAGCTGCCAGATGTAAAGGAATCCAAACATTACATGTAACCTTTCAGTAGCCTTAAGCCAAAATGTGCCCTTCTAGAAGTAGACCCAGGAAACACGCTATCTCTATCCTCCAAGTTAAGATCCACAGCTCTTATTTAAATCAGCAGGCTCCAGACAGCTAAAAGAGATCAAAGAAGCAGACTGCGTAGGAGGTGTATACGTATAGTGTAGGCCCGCTCTGCACAGTAATACTGTAGCAAGTAAGCCTTTTGGAAAATAGTTTCTGCAAGTCTGTTTAATGAAAATAAGAAGGGTACTGTGTTTCTATGACCAAAATAACTTGAGAGAAAAACTAATATTTCTAACCGTCAGGCTAAAGCATAATGAGAAAGACCTTGTTTACTTAAGGCAGGTTATCTGCTAAAATAATATGGACATTAATCAAGAGGCATCGTTTTGAATCCTTAATGCTTACGTTCTTACGTATAATTTTACATTATTCCCATCCTCTTTTACATTCTCAGGTATTGTTATCACATCACTTCTCAGTCCTTAAATGACCCTAATTCTTTAACTCTTGTCTTACTGGCCGTGTTTTCCGGACCTCTGATTGCACCCATCTGGTTTCCTCTCCATTTAGCACTGCTGTTGAAGAAAGATGGGAAGGGAAACCAAAGGCAGTACTCCAGTCGTACCGCTTCCAAGGAGGACAGCAGCGTTAGTTCGTGGATGATACAGCTGCAGTTCTGGTTACATATCCCGTTTTGCGTTATGGCCTTTGTTGTGCTATAACCTCACAGCTCTTTTCTAGGGAAACAGGTGGGTGTTCCCTATCCAGCATTTGAGTGGTCAATTGTTCCTGCTTAAATATAGTGCCTCGCACTTGTCTACAGTGGATTTCATCTTATTTTTTTCCAGACAACTTTACTAATTTGTTGAGGTGTACTGTTGATTACAGTATAGACTACAGGCTTATCACATGCACTCAGTTTTTACCCTTGTTTCCTAAGGACAGGGGACTTTTGCAATCACACTGTCCTCTGCCCCCACACACCACCATCGTTTCCTGCCAAACAGCCTTCCAATCATCTGGCAAATTCCATCTAAATTTGACAAAAGAGAAAGGTCTCAAAGACTGGCTTTATTTTAAAAGTTTTGCAAAAATTAGTGGCTGGGTAGAGGAGCAGACCGAAACTGTTTCCCTTCTCAGAGAGGGCAAGCCCTTGGCACGAGCGCAGCGTCCTGCCTGTCCTGCTGGCTGGCTGATAGCCCCAAGGAGGACGTGTGGCCCCTTGCACGTGGCGCTGGGAGCAGCAGAGCCAATAAAATGGGGAGAGGGGGGTGCTGCAAGGAGGCAAGGTGGGAGTGGGGGTGCTGGGGGTGCATGAGGCAGGGCTGAGAGCTACAACTATTGCAGTTGTGGGTGTAGGGGGACATAGGAGACACAGCTATTAAAAAAAAAAAAACAGGCTTTGTTAGTTTTGTTGCTCAAGGAACAACTTATTTTGAGACTCCAGGCTGCTGCCATTGTGATGCCAATATTCTCTTTATTGGCTTTCCCCTGACTGAGAAGGACAATGGCTTATCCTGGGTAAACAGCTGTGCTCTCTGAACCAATCCGTATCGCCATAGCAAGTGTTGGTTTTACTGACTCTGTTGCATCAGGTTTGGGTTCTTTTTTTGTCCAGACGAGTGGTGCTCGGATCCCTACCCAAGCTCCGACAGCAGGGCCTAGCGTACGTTAAAAAATTTCCCTTGTCTGCCAAAGGAGCACACTCAGATTGTCTAAATGTAAGTCAAGTAGCTTTCCTTGCATTTACAAAGGAGGAAGAGCTCTAACTCTGCATGTGTGAAAACAGACTGCTCCATCGCTCCATATGTAGAATAAGAGTGGAAAGCACAGAGTTGTATGCTTTTCTAGTGACAAAATGCAATAAAAGCTGAACTAGAAGGAAATCCTGACTTATATGAAGATGAGCTGAAGTATTCGGATAAAGCATTATCAAACAGCTCACGCTCTGTCCACTCACTCTCCCAGTTTTCAAGCAAGCATCCTTGTCCAGTTTATTCAGCCCTTCAGAGTTGCATAGTGTCTCTTCTTTCAAGCAGAAGCTGGAGGCACAGTCTTACTCCCAGGGGCAAAATACTCCTTAAACCTACAATGATCATAACACCATGCTCATAACAGCAACCACAAGCAGGGAAAAAAAATGTGTGAGTACAGGGGTACTAGAGAAAGATAAGAATGCAGACTACAGCATTTTCCTGGAGGACCTGAAAATAGGTCAACTTTAATAGACTTTTTTCATGAGAGAAACATAAAATAGCTTAAGTTGAAGGGATTAAGTTCACTCTATTCTTTTTCTTTTTCAAAGAGAACTCATGAATATGTTTTTCTAAGACAAACTCTAGCTCAAAGAAGAATCAGTTCATGGAAATCCTACTGAACTACTGAGCACAGGATCCTTTCTGGCTAGTCTTACGTTTGAGGATTGATTAATTAAGCATATGCACTTGCTATAACAAGAAACAGTTCTGTATAAAATGCTCTCTCCCTCCCAAGATTAAAACCAAGATATTACAAATATTGCATTTATTTGCAGTCACTCTTTTATGCCTAGCTGTTGTGTAGTGCTTCCCTTCTTCAGGCTATGCTACTGAAGAGCATTATCCCAGTTTCAGTATTTCAGACAGGAAAGAACTGTAAGAAGATAAAATAAATTGCTTCCTGTTGCCCAGTAGACTAGCAGTCAAAACTGCTGTGTCATGCCTGCTGTCCTGCCATTATAAGATTGTAGCTTGAATTTCAGCTACTGCATCAAGTTCCTGCACGTGAAATTCTGTGGAACAATTACTAAAAATCATACTCAGTTCACTAGAGACAGACCTAGAGTCATGCAAAGCTTCCTACTGCATTTGCAGTCCATTCCCTTCCCCCTCAACTCCAGTCGTCTGTGCTTCCTGGCTGTTACCAGCCCTTTATTGTCCAAAACCTTCATCCTCAGGACCCACAGCAGCATAGAGGCAGCATACCACAATGCATGTACACAGACACACTGAATAATACAAGACAACTAAATCTTTAAGCAAATTCATTGATAAGCTTTATTAACAAGATTAATATATCAATCAATACTATGTCCAGCATAAAGTTGTATAACAAAATATGCTATTTTGGTAAGATTGATTCTTAGTGTGCACATTTTAAGGGCAGTTTTCATCCAAATTGGACATCTAAAAAAAATAAATAAATAGTAGGCCAAACATGCTTACTTAGCAAAAGTCCTGCTAAGTAAAAACTTCAGGCTCCACATTGCTTCAAAGCACTAGCCATTACAGGTATCTGTGTATATGTTAAAGGTATATACACACATGGGTGTGTGCTCAAGCAGCACAGATTTTTTGACAGCTTCTGACTAGGTTCAAAATAGACCAGATTTCCAATACAGATTCCTTCCTGTTAAAGCTAGAGTCCATCTTACTACTCTCTACAGTTTAGGATTGTCTTGGTATCCAGTCATGTATTCTCCACTCACAAACTCCCAGTGACAGTATGTGTGCAAAATATGAAGGACTAGCCCCCTCCCGCTACTACTTTTTTGGCACTGGGACTGTTTGTGAAACAAAGAGCTACTCTGACATAAGAACAAGGGCATATGGCTCTTCAGAGGAAGAAAAAAGAAAAATCACTTTGGAACAGATGGAAACAAGATTTGCTCCCAGATCTACTTGCCAATATCTTCTTGGGGCTTGACAGGCAGCAGGAGAACATGCCTCTTGGGGGACACCTGGTGCTACAGGATTAGGCTTCAGGCACAGTGGCTTTCTGTAGGCTACAGAGCCCACATGAAACACTTTCAGCTTTGTTTCTCTGATAGACAGAGTTGCATATACATGGTGGCATTCAGGTGTTCCTGAAAGTGCAATATAGAGGCACACACTCACGTTAAGGCTACCTTTACTTTCAGCAATATTAAAATCTGGTCCCAATTGAGGTAACAGATGCATGGAAACACAACATATTTGGCAAGTCAGATTTTATTTACTCATGTACTTCAAAGTTCCTTACTGGTTCAATCCTACTCACTATCATGGTACTGTAGAGGCTATCCTTTGGGCATCTTTATTCTGCAAATCTAGACAAGCTTGTTCTAATTTATCTTCAGACTTAAATTCTGCTGATAGCAAAATTCCCTTTTTCTTCAAAAGTTATACTCTGAGGATTGAGTCAAATTTGAAATACTCTACTCTACATATTTCACTATTACAGTAAGACACAGAAGTTTGGTCAATGTATAAACGCTTACAAATCTAATGAAAACATCCCTGAGAGCCTTTCAGTAATGATTACTTTTGGTCTATTAGATGAGAAAAACTGTTATTAGATCCAGTTACTGAATATTGAGGGCTACAACTGAGTTGTACACTGGATTCCATTCCTTCACCTTCAGTCCTCTCAAAATGTAGCTTCTATCTCAGATACTATAACACATGTTTTGCATTGTTTAGACTGATATACAATATACTCAATTTTTTAGATAACTGGTCTAAATTCAGCTCTGGTGTAACACCTTTAATGTCCATGGAGTTGATACACTTACATTCCAGAACTGAAGTCTGGCAACACAGATGACTGTTAAAGTACCTAAAATAAAAAACCTTAAAAAAGGTCAGCAACAGGAAAAATACCTTTTCTTATCTTTCATTTTTCTAATTTTGCAAACAAACATTTTACAAAGATTTAACTTTAAAAATCATGCTGTCAAACCACAGGAAAACTTGGAATACTGCAAGATTCAACTCCACTGAAAAGCAAAGTGCTTAGAGTAGCTTCCTCAAAAGGGCACAAACGGCTAATGATGATAGAAGCACTGTGTTAGTACATACGCAGGGTCAAATAATGCAAGAACATCTCGAAATCAAAGGGATTAATCATTCTCCATTTCTCTGAAGCTGCTAGAGGGCCACACAGTCCAATGTCTGGTACTGTTTTAGCAGTATCTTAGAACATACTTTAAGTCATAAAGTTTACATAAATGTAAAACAGAAGTAATCCACTTTTTCAGATATGTTTTGCCTGGACTAGTAATCGTTTTCTGCTACATCAGCTTTTAATAAGGTTTCTTAAAGCGATGGCATTTGAAAATAAACCAAAACTGCTTGTACTCTGAAGCAAAGGCTAAATTAGCCCTTGGTTTATCTTTCTGTACCAGTACTCCTGACCTTAGCACTCTGCTACAAACCTGAGCAGATCTGGCATTTGAGTTAAAAGCTATGCTTTAGAACATTACATCACTTCAATAGCTTCTGCTAAAATGAGGTTATGCTTTCCTTTATGAAGTACAAAAGCATAATACAATATTCTGCACCTAGCGCTAATCTAATTTGTAAGGAAACATGAGAAACTGCACAGGTGTTTCTGTAAAGTAAAACTAGAATAGACATATTTTGGGAAAACACCAGAATTTCAAGTCCCCTTCAGACCTCCAAGGAGGTTTTATCCAATTCGGGAAGAGAAGGGAGCAACATGTGGAACAGAACATGCTTACAGAAGGGGTAAAATAGAGAAAAGCAAACAGCAAAATATGGTAAATCAAGCTTTTCCAAAACAGCTAAATACCTTATTTTTGCTCAATGAACAAACATGGACAAAGTGAGTATGTATCACTGTCAAACAGTATCAGGATGTAGGAGTTGATCAGAAGAAATAACTTTGAATTTCTGTCCAAATACTTCCTATGTAGTTTCTGGAGATCTGTTCAAATGCTAGCTGTTTAGATCCAGCTAGGCTGTCCCTAGCCCGAGATGAAACATGTAGGTTCACTAAGATGATTTCTATTTCTTTTGGGAAGGCTTCCTTAAGTAGTGAAGTTATACATTCAACTCTAGAGAAACACCTTGTACTGCCTTTCATGGCCATTTCTATACATCTAACCATGATATATGTGTAGCAAACTCCTTCAGACTGTAGATGTGTCAGCAGGTGGTGAACTATCAGAGACTGCTTTGGGATCAGGAGTGCAACAAGCAAAAAGTTGTGTTCCCAAGCTTTTTTGGGCAAATCTGAAGTACATTATGTGACCCATTGCAACAAAAGACACAGAAATAAGCACCAGTAAGCCAAAAGCTTCAGGGTTAGGGGCCAAGATGACCATGATGAAGTGCAGCAGATCAAGAAGATAATTCATGGAGTTTTGGACACCATTTATGATGCCTCTTTCAGATTCCATCACGTTTTCTTGGAGCAACTGTGTGACAGTCAAATCAAAGGACCAAAGGCCTATGGAGAGAAAAGAAAGTTATCAATGCAACAGGCCTTCTCAGCTCCCATTATTGGCACAATCTAATTTCCGTGAACACTCATTTCTGCCCAAAATACTTGGGACAGACAAACTACTTGTTCGACCAGAACGGATTTCACACTGGCACAGTCAAGGGCCATTTGCTTTTCCCTGTACTATTTCCTTAAGTAATACATACTGCTTGACATGTTAACTTGCCTATCCTGTCATGCCTTGTCTCAACACATCTATCAGGTAAGTGTTTTGCTCAACTATCTGTTCCGTAAAGTGTGCTCATGCTAATTACTGTTGCTAAGTTTTTCATATGAACATGCTTGCAAAGAGAGAAGTCATGTTTTAAACTCTTAACTAGCAAACAATGCACAGGAATCAAGTATTTTCTTCCTCTAAAATTCAGCTAAAGCTGCAGAAATTCATTAGACTACAAAGGTTCTACAGCTTATGAGAATTAGACTTCCTCACATATTCAACTGTTTTCTTTGATTGAGATATACTAATATTAGACTTTCTGGAAATTCCTCAAAACATTAAGCTGTCATCCAAATCAGCGTCTACTTCTCAACTCCTTTAATAATCTTTAAACTTGTGATCAGTAAAGTTGTCTAATCTACTGAATGGATTAAGATACTAAATTTGAAGGTTATGGTAGCACAGATGTTTCATTGTTTCCCATTTACAAATTGTTTTATTTGGGTGGGAAGAAAGGAAGATCACTTAGATGAGCATTCCCAAAAAACCCTAGTTACATTAATTTCCAAATGTGATAGTTATTTTCATGATTCGAGCAGTATGATATTCAATAAATTAGAACTGCAGTCTCTGTATTAGCAATACTATTGTAAGATCATTTCATTTGCACATTAAGCATAATGAATTAGTCTTAGAAACATGATGCAACACTTCAAATGTAACCAACAATTCTAAATTCAAATCGGTATTTAGCTGACAAGCTCTACAAGTTCTAGAATTACATGCAGTCAATAAGTCACATTTTAAGAGCCATATATTACTTACCAACTCTAGCAGCAATGACTCCTGCAAACAGGAGACTAACAGAGATTAAAGGCACAGGCTCAGGACTCATCTCTGGGTCACCATTAGCAGGAGTAGACCCGTTTAACAAGTTGGGCATTCCAGTTGCAAAAGCCATTTCAAGCTTATCTCCTGGAGATACAATAGTAGGTAACGGTTCACTTTCAAACAGCCTGGCACTGATGTCAGCAAATGGGGAAACAGTCAAATCCAGAGGACTTCCAGGCATGAATACAGAGATGGCACATAAGATCAGACAAGCAAACTGGGCTACTCCAGAAATAAGGCCCGTGCGAACCAAGCCACACTTGCGACGAAGCCAGGTGAAAGCCACTGTTCCCATGATGCCAGTGATGGCTGAGGCACCCATCAGAAGGCTTAGCACAGAGCCACTCAAACCCTGAGTGTATGCGTAGCCTGTAGTAATACAATCAAAGCCCAGAACAGTCATATAAAGAAATGCAAGACCCATGCCTGCAAGAAACACGGGCTGGTTGTAGTATGCAACCCATCCATCACGAAATGTGATGAAAGGTTCAGCAATCCGGGTGGCGCAGCTGACTTCCTTCTCCTGTTGGGGCTCAAAGCCAGTTACATCTTTCTCAACAATTAACTGCACTCCTTCAGCGGGTTTCATGTCACTCTCTGCAAACAGAAATGTAACTGTTAGACACTCTCCTGCCAGGAAGGTGCAGAGTGTAACTGAGACACCTGTTTGCAGTTAGTAGTTCACCACTGCAGAAACATTTAAGTGCCCTTAAATCCCTTCTATACAGGGAGATCAAGTAAAGTTTGTCCATATCAGTTTAAACTGCATTTTAGTTTGTTAAACTGCGATGGGGAAAGGAACAGGCCATGCTTTTTTCTTGACAGACTTCTCGTGACTGAATGCTCTAAACAATCTTCCATAAAGAAATGATTTATTAATGAATATCAGTTAACTAACGTTACTTTGTATTTTAAAAGAGCTTTTTATGTTTCAATGCACTAAGCACAGGAAGCAGGGAATATTTAATCATCTGGCAGTATCTCATGTTATAGCAGAGAAGTTTGCTGAAGCCTACTGAAGCGAGAAAAACTTCCAAGCTTGACTTTCAAATCTTAAGACCATGCTCTTCTAAAACTCCACTTTCACTCCTTTAATACAGAAGAAAGGCACCATGCTTCTACTGCTCACAAACAAATCCAAATACCAGGGTGGTACTTGGATTACTAGTGTAGATAGAAACTATTAAAAAAATTAGAAACTCTACCTATTCTAGCTAGAGTAGAAACACTACCACCTATTCCACAACTTCCTGAAAGCCTTTAAGTCCTGCATGCAAGTAGAGACCAGCCTGGAAGAGTCCTACACAAATTGTTTTGCTTGCAGACATTACATATCAAAGGACTTTGTCAGCACATTAGACATAGGTATAGACAGTGGCATTCATCAAGATCAGTCAGCTCTAAACAGGGCAGACTTACTCTAAAGGATTAATTCAGAGGAGAAGATTCATTCTTTGGCTGTATTTTATGGGATACCTCTAATAGCTGGAGCAAGAGGTATCGTTACTTAGATTATAGCCTCTGGCGTCTATAGCCAAAAACTGAAAGCTTCAAGTTGCAAGTAAAAAGCTATAGCCTCAAAACAGCATCTATACAAGATAGAAAAGGGAATGATTCAGTTTTGCTTTGATTCATGCAGTGAATACACTGGTTTTGAACAGTTACTTCAGCACTTTCAAATACCTTTCTTCACGTTCAGCTGCTTCAGTTCCGATTCTTCAACTTTTGAAGACTTGAGAGCCAGAGTAGGGGTCTTCTGATAAACTTTCCAGAGCAGCAGATATTCTACACACATAGACATCAGGTTCCAACCCGAAATGAATCCACAGCCAATCACTGGAGAGCCAAACGTCATTATCTGCCCAACTGCCATTGGGGCCAAAATATTGGTTAACTGGTCAATTCTTCGTATCGTGGCATTCATATCTGTCAGAAATGATTTGATAATATGAATGACTGCTAACACTTACAGGGAAATATTCATTAACATAATTGAGAACCGCACATAGCACACATCAAACTGCAAAACACATGAAGTGAGGGAAAGACCTGTAGTGATTTCACTTGGAGCAGGGATTACTCTGACTACTAACTAGAGGCACTTTTAGGTGCTCCAAAGTCTAAGTTTGAGACCAGTCCAGTTTATAAGCTAAGTTCCCACTGCTCTCAGTTTTGCCTGCATGAAGCCTTCCAGATTGAGCCTACTGGAATTACAGTGGAAGTATATTCCTGCAGGTGAAACTATTATTCTGCAACCACACATTACTCTTGCATCCGAGTGACTTTATGACTCCTAAACGTCTCTGTAAGACTCAAACCCAGCATGCACAACTCCAGACACTAATGCAAATCTTTACAGGAATGTGTTCTGTCATGTGAGATGATTTTAGCAACTGCTATCTCTCTAATACTGGACCATATATTTCCTAATCTCCTCCATTCAATTCTAATAACTGGTGACCATACATTACTCAGCGATAGCGGCAGACCTTTGAAATGGATTTAAGTTTCCTTATTGAGTCACGCTGCCTACAAATGCCATTAGCCATTCTCAGAACTCGCTGAGCAAAGTCCTTGCTCCCTTCTGTTCCATGCTTGCATATTTATGGTCAAAGCAAGGAGCCCCTTCCTAATACGGAAGGGGCTTCCATTTGCTGGTAGTGCAAGTTTTCCATTCCCCAATGGAATCAGCTTGAGTCATTTCACCCTCTAGGCTGCTACAGGTTCCCAATTAATGTTCCCATTCTTCTGTCATTAAAAGTTGTTGGGACGCTGAAAGCTTTTGTACATCTGGGCGTCACACTGCTTAGAAGCATCTCTCAAACTCATTTTAGAATCCTATTTTGAAAACAGAGCTTTTAAAGAATGAGCGAAACTGTAAACCAATGTGAATCTGCTTTTCCTGTCTGTAGATAATCTAACTGCTCCTTGTCGAAGTAGTATTTAGGCTATTCTGTTTAGAATTCAAGTTTAATTCAAACTACTAACCATTTCACTGATAACTAAGGTGAATAAGTTAGACACTCACTAATATTTTGCTTTAGAAACTCAATGAAGTTTAGTTCTTGCAATTATGTGCGTAAGGCTAACATTTCCAAACTCAAGAGCTACATAGTAATCAAAGTGAACGGAAAGACTACTCAGCAATTAAGAGGGGGAAGCCACAGCAATTTTTGTTTGCTTAATCCACCAACCTAGTTAAGGCCCTTCTTTGAGGAAAGGTAACAATACAGAGATGGAAACCAGTATTTGCTGCAAAGTCAATGCTGGCCTTTTTTTAAGTTAAGGTATCTTTAAAGTCCCCAAATTACATTATGATTAAACACATAACAACCCTATACCTGCCCAGGAGAGCTTTCAGATAGACTTGCTGAACTAAGGGTTTTCTTTTACTTTTTTTAACACAAAGTTGCCTCAGTCTGCAGGAACCTCTTGCCTGGTTTTTCAGTACAGAACGGTCACGTAATTCTGTCTCAAATTGCAGCAGAGACAGGACTGCCTGCCATGCAGTTCTCTGCAGGTGCGGTCTGTGCCTTATCTCATGTGTAGAAGTACAGGGGTTGGGGGACGATTTGCTGAATAAGATCTGACACAAGAAGAAAGGTTAATGAGAGCCATTAGAACTTTAAGGCTTCTACGGATAGAACTGTTTTTCCACTTGATTCATGCGTAAAGGAAGTTGACCTGAGCTGCTGCTCTACAAAAGGCATGGCCTAGAAAGGCATTGCAAGGTCAAAATAAGACTACAGGGGAGGATTTGTAGACTGGGAAATGCAAATTTGAGACACACACTTTCTTCTGCACCTAATTAGGAGTTAACCTCTTTTGGATGACAAGGGGAGATAAGACTCCTTTATTCTTGAGGTTTATCTCCATTAAATCAGTGATATACAGGTCCAATCCCTGAAAGGACTTAGGCATATGAATTGTGCTTTATGAACAATTTAGGCAGCTTCATACAAATTACAGTCCACAGAACTGAAACGCTGCCTAAGCCTGAAGGCACCTAAGCTCCTCAGTGAGCTGCATATGTCTTGGCAACGTAAAGCTCCTCTGTGCCTTGTCTGTACTTCAGTATCAGTTCCTCTACCTGAGAGGGCTTAAGTCCCCTTATAGGCTTGTTCAGAGCCCATGCAGACTGCCCAAGTTAATCACAAGACAACTGCTTTCCACGCTGTCTTCCGCATTGTGATCAGAACAGCTAGCCAGAGATTGATCATAGTGCAAATAGTCTTGAGCACTCCTCCAGCAAGAGAAAGTCAGGTTCAATATGGGTTTGGGATCCTGTGCAAGCCAAGACATCTCTTACATCCTAGTAGTGTCACAACCACCAAGCTACAGAGTTTGAATAGAAACTCAAGTCACTCCCCTAATGATGTCATGCCACTGTGCAAGAAAGGCAAAGAGGAGAGGGAAAAAGATTTAATAAGCCAAAAAGAATATTAAGTCTGTAGTCTAGTACTGAAGGTATCAGATGACAGATGAGTACTTCAAGTTTTCAGTTCCAAGTGAAGAAAAGTGTTCACAGTTCTGGGTGAGGCACCTAATGCTAGAGAAGTATAGGACTTCAAATAATCTGCATGCACAGCATTTTACATGGGCAGTTTCCTGATCCACGTATTTTACTGTTCTGGACTTCATTCATCCTCTTTCTTTGATCTCTATACAAGGAGCCTACTGTGTTAGGCAACACAGTTTCGTTGCATTCCAGGAGCCTAAAAATAAAGTATTGCAACACTGAAAGTTAAATAGCTTTTCTATTAAACACTGGGTATTTGATTTAAGAGCATGTATGTTTGTTTGACAAAAAAGATTTTCCTCTAACAAAGCTGCAGTAGGATCAGAAGAGCAAAAGTTTAGGGTTACCTAACTACATTGTAATCAAATTCACAACAGTAATTCCTAATCTCAGTAAGCGTAATCAAGAATGGAGAAGGGGAGAATAAAGGCTGCCCTTTCTAACTGTTTTCTCACAGTATCTGGAACTCAAAAATGTGCTGACCTCTAAAACTCTAATCTAGAGTCAAGCTTGAGAAGTAAGACACTTTAAGGTATTAAAAAGGCAACATATTTCACCTGCCAGTTTGCTTCTGTCTTCCCCTGCAACCACCACAATCCAGTCCCTCTGAATTGTGATCGCTGTGGCAGTGCTGGCCAAATTGGCAATATTTGCTATCGTGATAACCAGGATATAGCACATCGTCTAGAGAGATGGGGGAAAAAATTATGGTGTGAGAAAAGTGATGATGGGAGACCTCCACTGCTACCTGTACAACTAGAAACTACAGTTTTACATTTGAACCCATTCATTTAAGTATTCCTCTTCAGACATGACGTCTACCTTACAGTTCCTGACAGAAAGCAATCACCCCTCTAATTAGCTTAAAGTTTCACTCACCAGTTTTAGCTCACAGAAATGTCTATAAAGACTAAAGAATAAAAATTCATCTTATTTTTCTCATATTCCCCAAAGTTTCTTTAGAAGTTAATGCTTTGTTAACAAGTTTGAGCACTCACAAGAAGCCATCCATGGTATAAGGTCAAGAGCTGTGTCTTAAACAGGAAGACAATCATCAGGATAATACCACACAGGATGACAGAGGCATTCTGTACAACCAAGGATGTCCGGGCCACTGTGTTAAATCAGAGAGAAGAGTAACAATGATGAATGCAAGAAGAGCAAACTATAAGCTTAAGGAAAGTATAGTTAAGGAACATATGCAGATTCTGTAAATATTTTTAGCTTCCTAGATGTTTCCTTTTTTATCCCACACAAAAGCATTTGAGAGGTATGTATCATTTTATACTTGATTTTGAATCATCCATTGTCTCAGAGAGTCAATTTATGTCTAATATGACTTTGTAGCTTTTAAGTTTTATGCCCAAGCAGGCCTTTTTCTCAGCCATCAAAACAAACTGTATCTGTTTAAATTATTACTTTTAAAATGTTAAAAACAAGACTTGGGTTGAGTCTCTGAAATTTGTCTTCAGTGTACCACTGAATGACATTACTGTGTAAGCTCTTGGAAAGAAAGCGTATGAAGAGCTTGATGCAATGTCATTTATACAACAGACTAGAGCATATATATTAAAAATAGGTATAACACAACCACTGTGTATGTTTGTACATCTTAAGTGGCAAATATCTGTAGCCAGACAGAAGACAGCAAATGACAATGAGAATAAGATTTGTAGTATTAGCTTGTCAAGAACTGAGTCTGCAGTTCTTGAAGCTATGTACTTTTTACCTCATGCATTAGTGTGTCTACATGGGTTTAGCCTGTAGAATCAGCATATCATGTAAAACTGTTTCCCTCCTATCTTTGATACCGTCCTTGTATAATTATTACCATCATTCTGAAACTATATCTTTAAGAGACCGAGCAAGCCCAGTTCTCGTATTTGTCTTGAGGCATTAACTTAATAGCTTTGTCTTTTGACATTAATTTGTTCCATCCTTGAGTAAATAGCCTGCTTTAGACATGCTAACCTTTGAGCCTGGAGTTCTTGTCCACCCAATCTCCAATAATGGCTCCCAGGAGAAGAACTGATCCTGCCACAACCAGTCCATAGACTGCAGTCAGGAGTAAGCTGTTTCCATAAAGTTCAACCAGGAACACAGACACAGCAAAATGCCACATACGATCTCCCTTTAAAAGACAGAGTACATACACAGCATTACTATTTGCACTTTGAGTATGCTAGTTGGCTCTCTTATTTCATTAATACCATGCAAAACATCCATATTAACCAAGTATCAGGTTTTACACATGCACTTTTTTAACCATAAACTATATCCTGCCATTGAGTTTACCCAAGCATCACTACGATCATCTGTTCCAATCAAGTGCTATGTTAGTTTGTAACATTACATCACAAATTCCAAGTGTTTTCTCTTTTATAATAACATGGGACAAAGACTTACAGATTCTCCAGCACAGATCAAAGGCTACCATAAGATTCTGATCATCAGTGCTATTTAAAAATTTTTCAAGACAACAGTTTGCCCTTAGATGAGCAAAGCTTAAGGTAATTTTAAAGTACAAAAGTCAGTCAAGAGTCAAAACAAATCAGGATCACAATCAAGGACAGATACAGGTAATCAAGGACGGTGCTGCCCTAAACCTTTTTAGGTTAAGTTTTTGAAGTCCATGGACTTAAACTCTTTTTCGACATAGTAAACATTGGCGTATTACATTGGCGTATTACTAAGAGGTAGAATATCAGAGCTAGTTTGCACTTAGCCTATTGCAGTACCATTCCTTAGACTGGAGAGTTTTTCATATGCTGACACTAACTACAGCAGCCAAAAAAGTCCAAAATGTAAGGATGTCTAATTGAAATAGCTTTCATTCATACTATTCAAAACATTTGTTACCAAAGAGATCTATGGTTTGTTAAGGAATACATCCATTTATGTTGTCACGTTTGGAGTCATTATCTCACTGTATTTTTAAACATGTTGCAAGAAGTACACTACAGAAAAGGCTTTATTTAATCAGTAACAAAGCAGATAAAGAGAACACATTCATACTGTTCTAGGGCAGAGAGTATGTTTAATAAGGGTCCCTGATATTAGTCTTCTACAAAGCAAACGTAGAACTGTTCTCTTCTGTCACCTTTAGTAATTGCTGTAGGTTCAGCAACTACCGATATTGCAGGACTACAAATGTTTAAGGACCTTCGAAACATGTAGTATCTGAGGGACTGGAGGGGTTAACATAAAAGCACTTCTAAAAGAGCAAAGACCATCAAATCTTAACATGTTGAATAAAATAGCAACCAAAATATACATAACAATCATGCTATTTTAAGGGTCAAAGCAACCACAGACAAAATTTGATGGAAGTTTTTAAGGTAGCATAGTATACATGCTTAAAGAGTTTGGCTTTTAGCCTTCATTGAAGTTCTCTGAAGAAGGTTTCTTCAAACACTGCAAGAGGTAGATATTCACATTGGTCTCCTTAACCATGGGCATAGAAAGAATTGTGCTCCAATTATGTAAGAATAAGATTTCACTTTTTCTAGTTCAGAGAAGTATCTCATTTTGTATGGTTTTAATTAAAACCCATGAAAGAAGGAAAACATGAGCATGATTAACTTCATTATATATGAGAGGGAGAATCAAACTTATCACTTTCCCAAAGCACCTAATATCTTCTTTAAAGTATGTTCCACCTGTGTTCTATGATTAATAGAAAAAGTATGCAGAAAGCATTCTAGCCACAGAAGAACAGAGATAATTTTCCTCAAGTCTAGCATTCACTTAAAGAGGTGCCTCAAGTCATATTAAGTTTATCAAATTTAATTTACAATGTATGCAGGTGGATTAAATGTAAGTTTTGATTAGCCTGGGCAACCTTTTATTAAGGTTGAAAGTAATGTTCTAAATTATGTTTCTCATTAGTAAAAATTTCAAAATATTCAAATTTTTTCCTTATGCAGAGATGTTTCAGTTATTGGATTCTGATTAAAAATGAAAAAGGAATTTTAAGAATTTAAGCATGTGAAAGTCTGTGGCAGTCATCACTGCTCGAGTGACAAACACAATCTCACTTGCAAATTACAGGAAGATTCCCTTGACAACAGTGACATTATGATTCTGCTACAGGATTCATTTAAGGAACCCGAGAACTCTGTTTCACCTCATCCAACTTATTTACCCAGACTACTTTGATCAAGCCAATCCACACAGCTAACTTTTGGAGTAAGTGAAGCTGTTCCAACCTGGAAGCATGAGTTTCAGAAATGAAAAGCCATAGAGAGCAAGTAAAGATAAGTTAGTGTTACAGAAGAACAGCATTAGAGTATTACAGAGGTTATGAAGCTGATAAGAAACTTCAAGCTAAAGTTTACTGAGATTTCAGTAGTAAATAGAGCCCTCAGAAACAGGCAAAACCTTGATTATATATCCTTGATCCTACTTTAAGGAGACTCAAAATATGAGTATCAAAACTTATTTTCACAAATAACTACAACTGCTTAGCCTAACCATCCTTCTAAAGATGGTTCTTGCTTCGCTGTAATTATAACTACCCTTACAGTCTCTCGAATTAAGTGTATATAATCCCAGCTCAGAACTGAAACCAAGTCCGGCAGTAGCCAGGCTGCTACTTGATGAAACGCCTCCCAAGAGTCTTCAGTGTCACAGATACAGCTGGGAAGCTGCAGTACTCATACCAGTAAGTATTAGGCCAGGCAACAACTACGCGAACAGTTTCATCCGGCTCCATCCCTGTTGTTGAGTGATAGATAGGAATAAGTTATATACACAAAGCAACAGCGTAAGGTCTGAGGCCCTGGTTCAGCAGAGCAATTCAGCCTCTTTGTTACAGATCACTGAGGCCAAGCACACACTCGAGCACTTTCACTGAATGAGAGTCTACAACAGGCTCTAGACACTGTTCAAATCTGAGCATTTGTAGATGAGAGAAATGCTTAATCATTTAAAGCTTCTCTCTGTATTTGGGAATGGCTTGGCAACATGGAAGTTGCTCAAGTTCTCTCAGCTTAAGCAAAAATACATTTCTATTAGGTTCTGTGCTTTGGACATCCACGTTTTAGAGCAACAATGCTATAGTAATTTCAGTTTTGAAGATGAAGGTGCTTCTTTGCTGTCTGCAGAAAGCTATTCCTGTTAGGGCACACATTCAGACTACAAGAACATCAAAGCCTAAGAAATGAAAAAAGGTGCAGTCCTGCATCCAGTTCTGTCAAAATAGGCAACGCTGCTGTTACTTCAGCAGTTTGAGTCAGGTTTTCCGCACAAGAGAAAAATACAGGAGCTAAGAACATACCACTGATATTGCTAAACAGTAAAACTGACTTCTTGAAGTCTGTTCCTCAGGGTTATGTGCTATAGTTTTTGAAGCAGTTTGTCACCCTTGTTCAGGCACTCTGAGTAATGCCATTGCTGATTTTTTTTAAAGCATGACAGCAGTGAGCAGGGTGGGCAGGACAGCCAGGTAAGCAGTTTGTCCCTCTTATTGACAGAGCAAACGGTTGCAGGTAACAACCCTGGACTCTGAAGAACAGCAAACCAAACAAACATCACCCGACTCCTTGAATAAAATTAATAATTGCTAAAAATATTGCACTTGTTCAAACAAGTGTTTGACACCCCTCCAAGCCTTCCTTCTTCCATTAACAGAAGCATCAATATGACCTTTTGGATTAGTGAAAGCAAGGCACTGCCAGAGTTAGGCATGCAGTGCTGTAACTGTGTATCAGCAGCATGCTCAATGCTATACAGAGCACACACTATATCAGTCCAAATCCAGCACTAAAAAAACAAAACAGGGAATATTAGGAAACAAACTTCCCAGCTCTTTTGAGTCTGGCCATTGGTAGAGAATCAACACCATATTACATGATTATTTATCTCTTGGCTAAATAACAGCCTGTTCTTCATTTTACTATAACAAATAGAACCATATTGTCATCTTTGTTCATTTTAAGGTTCTGAACGATGCTTCCAAGTGCATGGAAGCTGCTAGAGTGAGTTACTTTAGTATGCAAGTACATCAGAAGGTAAGCATTTTGCCAGAGAAAAGACACTTTTGACATTCTCAACAGGTTTGAGTGAGAGTGGCAGGAAGGGGTCCACTGCAAATACCATTTCCTATTTGTAAAGCAGCACAGCCGCCCTTCCAGAGGCATGTCACAATGCACCGCACATCTTTCCCATGATACTTGGTTCGGCTATGCTCCATTTCCGTGCCTCACCTCACCCTGTGAGGGGTCTCAGCAGTTCTGTGCAGTTACTTAAGGGGTAAAAGGGAGCAGAACGAGGCCCTCAGGGAATTGTGAGTACTGCACTTCTACCTCCAGCCAAAACTGAACATACTGCAACATACTACACGAAGATTACACAGACTTTTAATGGCAAGGTGTTGCAATGAGAAGCCAGCCTTCAGGGTTTCTATTTTGCAACGATTTTTCGAGAAGGACTAACAACGTGCAGGTAAGCCAGAGCGAGGCAAAGGCAGCCCTACCGCCGGTATTTTACTCACCCAAGTGGACAGCGCATGTCCAAGGTAGAGCAGAAACTTTGCGGAGGTAAAATAACCAACCAAAGAGCCTGAACGAGAAACAAGAAACAACCGCTAAGGACGACCCGCGCGCAGCCGGCTCCGCGGGCACCCGGCGCCCCT